AGACTAAATTACTGTAATGTGCTGTACATGGAACTGTCCTTGGAGACGATTCAGAAATTACAGCTGGTGCAGAATGCTGCTGCCTGTCTGATGGTATAAGTAGCTAAAAGATTTACATTAGTACTTAAATATCTGCATTGGTTACCGGTATGTTTCTGAACCCAATTCAGCAGGCTGGTTGTGATCTCTACATGATCTGAGTCACAAGTATCTTAAAGAATGCCTTTTCCTGTGTAAACTCCTCCAGGAACCTTAAGAACTACAGTGAGTCCTACTCTGAGCTCCTGTCTCTAGGGCCCTCCCGATGTTTTGTGCTATATTCATTCCTAGTCAGAGAAGATGGGAGTTGTATCAGTCTCTTTCAATCTGTGTCCATTTCATGTGTATGTGTGCTCATAAATCTGTTCAGTTTCGTTTTTGCATTAATAGCAATTTCTTAAAAGAGTGCAAGAATTTTATTTAAATTCATATTTAATTGCAATATATGCATTTCTAAAGTTATTTTATCTTAAAATGTGCATGTGTTTTGCACAGCACGGTACATATTTTGAACCATGAGATGTATCACAAAATTTGGGAAAGGGTTCGTTCTGAATGATATTTATGATCCTATTTGTGTATTAAGAAGGTGGCAAATTGGGTTGGTTCACTTAAAAATGTTCACTGAAAGAATTTCTCCTCTACCTTTGTCTGGTGGGAGTTCCTACAATATCTGAAGGTGTCACAGGTTCCCCATCTCTGCATAGAGAATTAAGGTCAACTTACTTACTTACTAGAAGAAGAGCCTTTTCCCTCATAGTTCCAAACTTTTGGAATGCTCTCCTGTGCAATGGCTGTGTACAGTCTTCCCTTTGTAGAGAAGTAAGCTATGCTTTCATTCCATTGTGAGTTTATGGTTCTTTCATAGTTTTCTCAATGCTTATATATTTATCCATTGGTATGGGTTATTTACCGCAGTCCCCCCCCAAAAAAAGCTGCCCTTTGAACAGTTTTCTGCCGTAAGGTTATCTTATAAATAATAATGTATTTGGTAAAGCATGTAAGGAATGCAAGTAAGTTAAAATCAAATATAGAGGAAGGAGACCATATCTATGTCTGAAGGCTACTGTGTGGTGAGTATAAAGATAAAATCACTCTGTAGTAAGCTGTCCCAGTTTTATAACATTGAAGGGTTGCTGTTTTTAGTCTATAAAGCACTATCCATTATTTACAATAAATAAGGAGGTTCATGAGAAGCAGCACTATTTAGTTTGCTGTCTAATGCTTTTAAAAAAGCACTTCTTAAAAAGTATATGATTGAAGCATCAAATAATTCAGTCCTTAGTTCAGGAAATGTTTTTGTTTTAGTCTATAGAGTTGTTGTTGTTGTTTAGTCGTTTAGTCGTGTCCGACTCTTCGTGACCCCATGGACCAGAGCACGCCAGGCACTTCTGTCTTCCACTGCCTCCCGCAGTTTAGTCAAACTCATGCTGGTAGCTTTGAGAACACTATCCAACCATCTCGTCCTCTGTCATCCCCTTCTCCTTGTGCCCTCCATCTTTCCCAACATCAGGGTCTTTTCCAGGGAGTCTTCTCTTCTCATGAGGTGGCCAAAGTATTGGAGTCTCAGCTTCAGGATCTGTCCTTCCAGTGAGCACTCAGGGCTGATTTCCTTCAGAATGGATAGGTTGGATCTTCTTGCAGTCCATGGGACTCTCAAGAGTCTCCTCCAGCACCATAATTCAAAAGCATCAATTCTTCGGCGATCAGCCTTCTTTATGGTCCAGCTTTCACTTCCATACATCACTACTGGGAAAACCATAGCTTTTACTATACGGACCTTTGTTGGCAAGGTGATATCTCTGCTTTTTAAGACGCTGTCTAGGTTTGCCATCGCCTTCCTCCCAAGAAGCAGGCGTCTTTTAATTTCATGGCTGCTGTCACCATCTGCAGTGATCATGGAGCCCAAGAAAGAAAAATCTCTCACTGCCTCCATTTCTTCCCCTTCTATTTGCCAGGAGGTGATGGGACCAGTGGCCATGATCTTCGTTTAGTCTATAGAGTAGGGAAGTGCTGAACTTTCTCATCTCTCTGTTACTGTACCTGAATCAGAGACATTCACCAAATGGCCTTCCTAAAAGCACGCTGAATAATAGAATTAGACCATTTAACCTTGTTTCGGGGCCTTTTTGCAGGTTTGTGTTGCTAGAGCGCTGGGTCTTGTTACCGGGCCATCTATCACTACAACCCCCGCTTTTGCTATGTAATCTATATCTGCTCTCACGAGACCCTCCCTAATCCATACAGTTGCTTGGCTGCGCATAAGCATCGATTTTCCCTGCCCCCAACCTTGTCTTTGTTTAGATTCATTTTGCTCCTTTGCCAAAGCCATTCAAGAAAAGTCTGAGCGACTTTTGGGGAAACAGTATTTTCTCCTCTTGCTGGTAGGGTGCTTCCTGAGACTATCATGCACTACTTGGCTCATCAACTTGGAAATGGAAATGTAATGCCGGGCAGGGTAGAATTAACTTTTTTAATGACACTTTAATAATTTTTAAACTAAAGACAAAATACAGAAATAAAAATAATCAAGCGTACTGATACAATAGGCTTTTGGACCAGTTGAAGTTCCCAAGTCATCTTCAAGGGCAGCCCCTCCTTGTTGAGTAAGTGAGTATAGGACTGTGGCCTTAGTTTCTCAAATATGACCATTCACTAGCATGTCTTTTCTGTCCCTCTTCCTACCCTGACCATATTGAAACTGGTCTGGAAGCTGCAGGATGCTGCAAACAGGTGGTTGAGTGGAGCACCTTGATGTGCACATATTACACCTCTGCTGAAGGAACTGTACTGGCTGCCAATCAACCACCATGTAAAGCCCTAAACAATTTGGTACCAGGTTACCTGCAAGCCCACCTTGTGGCTTAGGGCCCTCATATCTACGGGACCGCCTCTCCTGGTATGCCCCGCAGAGGACCTTAAGGTCCATGAATAACCATAGTTTAGAGGTCCTGGGCCCTAAGGAAGTCAGACTATCCTCCACCAGGGCCAGGGCCTTTTCGGTGATGACTCCAACCTGGTGGAATGCTCTGTCCCATGAGACTACGGCCCTTCAGGATTGAACCTCCTTCTGTCGGGCCTGGAAGACAGAGCTATTCTGCCTGGCCTTTAAATTGAATTCAGCCTGATCTTTTATTTCCCTTCTCTTCTCTTCTCTTCCCTCCCCCTCCCCTTTTATGAAGATCACCCACTCTGAGACCCCATAGCTAATTCTCCCCTGGCCTCCTCGCTGGTCCAAGTAGGACCAATTCAGCCAGCTAGCCCTGGGGAGATTATCTAATTGATTTTTGATTTTTGAATTTATTGCTATTCATGTTTTTATACTGTATTTTAAATTTGTTGTTAGCTGCCCTGAGCCTGGTTTTTGAACTGGGAAGGGCGGGGTATAAATAAAAATTTCTTATTTTATTATTATTACCTGTCCCTCTATAGACTTTTAAATTCACTTGATCATCTGGAGAAATTTTGCTACAGAATAACACAGGGTAAAAGAGGCATGTTTCTTCATTGCATTGTGGATGCTCTTTCCTCTGCCATTTGTGAAGCAACACCAGTTGCCACAGACATCTTAGAGACATCCTTTTGCCCAGGCTTTCCGTGACCTATAAAACTGGACCCTGTTATTACTGTCTTTATCTGCTTTTATGTTGCATCTCTGGTTTTTATGTTGTATTTTAGCATCTCGTTAGAGATTTCTAAATATTAAGTGGTTCAGAAATGCTTTTAATTAGATACTTCAATTCTCTGCTATAATTTACATATTGAAAAACATCCCTTTTTTAATTTCTAGGATTGAATCCAACGATTTGCCGCTGTTGGCTGCTATAGCGAGTACTCATTCTCCGTATGTTGCTCAGATACTCCTCTAAGCTGAAATCTTGAAGTCACAGCTCCCTAGCAGAGTAAAGCAGATGGGATGCGTGTGTGCAGAAGAGAGCAAACATGAAGAGATGGGGGAACAGAGGACCACAGGTGACAGTTCATTCTGTCACTTTTCCTCTTCTGCATTTTGGACGCTTACCAGCGGAATTTCAGTTTACATAATATAAAAGACATTCAGGGTTTTTATACTGCTTTTGGAGTAAACTAATCAAGAATGCATCCTTGTATTTTAATGGACAAAATAATTAAACACTATTGGAGGATTCCCTACTTATACATAGTTCTCAGCCAAACAAAAGAACATCAACTCTAAGTATGGTTTCCTTACTATTGTTGTCTTGTTCTGATTTCCCACCCACCCAAATGGGGAGCAGTAAGCAAATCTGTATGCACAGAAGCATTCCTGTGTTTGGATGGACAAGGTGATGAATTGGAAGACGTATGCATGCCCATTCTCTTTTGTTAGCTCATCAAACCTCCATGGAACAAGAAGTTGGAAGTCAGCTACCACAATCTTGTTGTGTGGCTGATTGGCTCTTAAAATGGACAAAGCAGCACGAGAGCGGCAGTGTTGTTTTTGGTTGTTCTTGGCGGAGACGGAAGTTTTGGATCCTGCATCACAGCTAGATGAAAATGGGAGAAAGTAGTAGTAATCTCCACTGCAAACTTACCTTATTGCAAATGCCACATCTTAAATTTCCAGTTTTCTGGTCTTATAGGTTGAGCATCCTAACATATGTACAACCAGCTCAAAAAAGCTCGTGTTTGAACCTTAAGAACCGATACGATAATGGACATAGGTTTGTATCCATCCTAGTCCTGCTTGGATTAGAAGCACTGAAATGAATGAACCTGAGTTCATTTCACTGAGTCTACTTTGTGTAGGGCTAGCATTAAAAGCACCCATTAGCATCAACTCTGGATAGCTTGTTTTAAAACATAAACTCTTATCTGTTGCCCCGTGAATAAGAGATCTCTCTTCAGCACACTGCAGAAGCAGGATCAACTTCTTTAAGTGGACGGATGAAACATGCAGAAGAAATCTCAGAGAGGATATCGCGAGGGGAAGGTGGTCATGGTAACAGTGACAGCAATTCATTATGATAATTCTCAAGTGTCTGAAGCGATCCCACAGAACGTTTTGCACTAGCCTCTTGGTGCCTTCCTCTCTTGTATGTCTTAATTCTAAAAGAGAAATGTATGTGGTTTTAAACGGGAAGTTAGTAACATGAGCTCTCTTTCAATTTTCTCTGTTGCTATACAACTATACACATATGACCGTATTCGTCTTGGTTTCAAACCCTATACCTAGGGCTTTCTTAGAAGGTTCAGTATAAATCTTGTGACTTCATTTTAACTTCCAAGTTCTGCAGGTGACTGTGTGAAATTAGAGTAAGAAAGCAAAAACTACTTACAATTTTTTTGAAAGACCCCCGGTTGGCACATTGTGCAATCTCCCATGTTGGACTGAAAGTGCTAAATGGAAGTAGAAAGAAGTTTTGTCATATTTGGCAACTGACCCAAGCAGTGTTGGCAATTGGATGCAATGTTTGTCCAAATACCGATTTAATAATTTTCTTTTTCTGGGGCTTGTCAGATTTTCCATTTTGTCTCATTGCTTATTCATCCTTGCCAATACTTTCATGACAACACTTAATCATACGGTCATTCCTGTTTTAGAAGCTAGTAGTTATCCATAGCAGCATTATTCTGTTCCCTGCCTTTCTTTCTATTGCAAATTAGCTCAGAAAATCAATTTTCCTCTGAAACCTTCCCTTCCAAATGAATGAAGCCCAGTTTTTGACAGAGAAGACCACAAAGGCAAGGGTTAAAGATACCCTTCTTGTACTTAAATTATGGTCAAGGAATCAAATTAATTAACAACCCTTGCTTTTATCTCAGAATAAAATCATAATATACTTTTTCCCCCTTTAAAAGAACCATGCAGATCTTTAACAATTGTATCCTTTTAGAAAAAGTAGCTTCATTCTATATTTAAGAAAAAAATAATGTGTTTTATCCTTCCGTTTTTTAAAAAAAACTACCTCAGTTGACAGAATTAAGCTGCCAGTAGGGGGCAACTTAAAAGTTGTACATGTCATGAATTTCCTGAAAGATTGTGCTGTAGCATTTGAGAGGGCAAAAACTGCACTGGTGATGCACTGCAATGGCTACCCTTTTATCATAAGCATGCTTTAGTTCTGATATTTTTAATAGTTTTTAAAGTAATGTGAATGTACCTGAGAAACACTGAAAGTGGCAATGAGAAAGGAATCTTGTCTGAAATCTTCAAGATTCCAGAACTTTTTATTTTTCATGCTGTATTAATAGTATTCAGCTGTCCTCCCCTCCAAACATGTCTACTTCTTTGTTTCCTAAGCAGGAGCAAACTTCTTCTGATTCATATGGACCATATTTTAAGTGTAGCAAGCTTATATAATAAAGCATGTTACCTGGAACAGATGAAGTAACATATACCGTACTAGGAGAAGGGTGTGTGTGTGTGTATTGCTGCAAGTATGTGTTCAGAGAGAGAAAAGCAAATAGTGTTTGGGGTTTTTTTTATTGACTGGATTCTAATGTCAAACTGTGGAAACTTCTTAATTTGGGCTGTAAATGTACAGTATCATTTGTCATTTTCTTTGTGGCATTGGTGCAATAAATTGTAGAAAACCACTTCATTAGTGGATTGCATAAATCTCTCTTTGACAATATTGTCTTTACTGAGACACATATTCAAAACCAAAAGAAACAGTTCAAAATATTATAATCAGGAGTTCATAGACTCAGATGTTTAGCAAAGTTTTGCAGAGGGGTCTTCACACTTTACTAATGTCTAACAAATGGGAGTACAGTGGTACCTCGGGTTACATATGCTTCAGGTTACACACTCTGCTAACCCAGAAATAGTGCTTCAGGTTAAGAACTTTGCTTCAGGATAAGAACAGAAATCAGGCTCCGGCGGTGCAGCGGCAGCAGGAGGCCCCATTGGCTAAAGTGGTGCTTCAGGTAAGAACAGTTTCAGGTTAAGAACGAACCTCTGGAACGAATTAAGTACTTAACCCAAGGTACCACTGTACTCTGTCTTACAAAGGACTGGGATGCATGTCATGCTCAGAAAAACCACAGGGTACAGCCTTTTCCCAGGCCACACCACTTCAAACTGCAGCTGGATCAAGTATTTTGAATATTGGCCCTCTGAAATATCTCTGTCCTGCCTGTGGAAAATTTTGCATGGAAAAAAGAGTTTGGTGAGGACATGGGAGAGGGCCTTCTCAATAGTTGCTCCCAGACTTCAGAGCTCCATTTCCAGAAAGGCTAGACTGGCTTCCCTCCTCACTGTCTTTCCACCAGCTGCTGAAGACTCTCTTATTCTAGCAGGCTTGGGGGAACTGGCTGCTTCTAAAGAAAGGGCTTTTTAATAGTGTTGCACTGTTTTTGCTATCTGCATTTTAATAAATCTTTTTACATCATTTTAATTCTGTTATAGTTTAATTGCTTTTTAAGTTATCTTTTATATGTTTTTCGCTATCTGTGTTTTACTTGTGTTTCGGTTTTTGTGAGCCACCTCGAGTCCTGGTTCTGGGGGAAAGGTGGATTATTATTAATATTATTAGAATTTATCTACCACCCAATATCCGCAGGTCTCAGGGTGGTTCACAGGATAAAATCAGAATATAAAACCACAAAATACATAATCAAAATAACAACTCAGTAATACAAATTATCGCATAGCCTTCTCATTGCTTTGTTATTCTTCTATGTGGAATGCTATTTTTTGTGTTTGTGTGTGTCACATTTAAATCCCTACCTCCAAAGTTTAAGTGGTACAGTCTAGAAAGTGTTGTACCATATAGTTTCTAAACGTGCCCAGCTCTCAAACATTTTAATCTGAAAAAATCATGGTGTTCACAAAGGTATCCAGGTGCATAACTACATGTGGCCTTCTTACTAAATTGTTTGTATTTTTCTTGGGGCAAACATTCTGCCACATCTTCTGTCGGTCACCATCCGTTTCATGACTTATTCTGAGAATGCAGTTTAATAAAACCTTTCAAAAGAACTCTCTGTGATCACCCACAGCAGCATGTACTATGGCCATTTGCCAAGTGAGCGTTGTTATTTTTCTTTAAAGCAAAATTCAAAAACAAAATTATGGTGGTTAGATAATACAGTGGTTTAAACATTAAAATCCTCTAGGCTTTGATGAGTACCATTTAAAAATAAATAAATCTAATTTATGCAGTGACCCCTTACTTGCTTTTCAAACACGGGGTTATTTTAAACGCAGCGAGAGACAATCAAAATAGAAATATCCTGATTGTCAGTCTTAGTTCACATAAAAGCAACTTCTTGCAAGAATTACAGTTTAAGCTCAGAAATTCAAATAAATAAATAAAAGAGGTGTTGAGTGGGATCAGGTTTTTAGCTATTAATGCATGTTTACTTTTATCCATGAAAGAAGATTGACTGAGTGGAACTAAAATATGCAAAATGGAATGGTTGTGTGTGTTGGTGGGGGGGGGAGGGCCTGATGGCTGATTGGATTGGCAAGCATGCAAAGTACAAAGCATTGACCTACTTCTAGTACCACACAATATTAGCTTAATTACCACATGTTGGTAATCTGCATGCTGGCAAACTACCCTGTAAAACATGTCAAGTCATAGGCACTTGTCTCTCTTGCCGAGTCTCAGGACTGAGGAAGTGGTCTTATAAGAGCTAGCTGAAGGTAATGAATTGCATATAGCCAGGAATTCATCAAGGTCAAGACAGTACAAGGAAGCTTAGGAGAGACTGCTTGTCAAGTCTTTAAAAATAAATGTAATCTCAGCTAAATTGGATTTCTTGTATTCAGTGTTACAACAATCTGCCAAAAGTCCTTTAGACGGGGGGAGTCCTCTATGCTGACGCTAACAAGAAGTTCCTGCACCAAGAATAAACAGGCAGTCCTGTAATATAGTAACTAATTTAAGCAGGATGCATTTAAATGTGACACTTGTGGGATATCTTTGGGGAGAAGAAAAGGCTAAGGAATAAATGCTACACAAATGTGGAGTGGAGTCCCTAAGACTGTTGAATGGCGCCTTGTATGCCTTCTTGCGGCAACTGCTGCAGCCAAGCTGGTGCCAAACATATTGCTTTACTTTTCTTTGGATAGTGAGGGGGTCTTGTCTGAGCAGCCCAGCACCTCCATACACACTGCCCAGGCTTGTGTCCTGGGGAGATCACTTTGGTGCTGCTAGTACAGCAGTTTGACTTCACCCCTGGAGGCTCACTCCATTGTCTCTTGAGACAAGAAGGATGCCAACAACAACAATAGTGGAGTCCTATGCATATTTACACAGGAGTAAGTCTGGTTGATTTCAAATCTTGTTGAGATGCATCCCTTGACTTCCATCTGATTATTTTTAATTGCTGAATGGCTTTAGGCATTTGTGCTACTTGTAGAACTCCCTGTATGATAAGAGAAGAAACCTGTAACCAACCCTACCTCCATTTGATGAGGTGATGTTTCTGATCCATCCAAGGTCATCATAGGAAGGTTGGGCAGACGACCCAAACTATCATCCAAGTATTGTGGATCAGGGGCAGGATACATCCTCAAACTACAATTCAGAAAAAATGGTGTCAGCACACAAGAAAGAACATGCTAGAAACCTTCTGACATGGTACAATGCTGCTGGGTAGAAAATATAGTTACATAAAAATATAGATACTGAAACTGCATGATACAATGTTGACATCTGGGTCAAGGGAGGGTGGTTTTATTCCTTAATACCTCTTTTAACCTTTGCCCTGTCAAGTTTGCCTCACCTTTTAAAAATGAATTCCAATTCTCACCACACAAACTGAGCACTATCAGGGGACAGAAATCTCACCAATTCAAACCACTGCCTAGTGTAATTTGTTTTCCTTTTAGATGCCATTAACAGCAGTTCTGCCTGGTAGCAATGGACTTGGGGTGATAAAAACCTTCCCACTCTCCATTTCGAAGCCATGGAAAGCCAGCACATCAGATCATGTCACAGATGAGCGGAAAGAGGCCAGAAGTGTGTGAGAATGTCTCCCAAACATTTGGCATCTTATACCAGGTTAAAGCTGAAGGTTCACATATTCTGTCCCAAACAGGCCTCTTGCCATCCCTGACCCTAAAGAGAAATAATAGTGTTCAAGAATATTCCCTGAGAGAATTAGTTTTAGCTTACATATATGCCTTCAAAGAAGGCTGTGGGAACTGTAAAAGGTTTGGAGTGTGTCCTCGGGTCACGGTCTTAAAACCCCATAATAAAGAACAAAAGCACTAACTCTGCCTTTTCGGAATAGTCCCGCTAGCTAACAAACTGGTCTAATGGCATAATGGCACTTGGGTGAACATCCACTCTCTTTTAGCCACTTCATGAAGTAAATTCAGTGGAAATGTTCCTCTAGGCCTGTGCGATGTTTATATTGTATTTGTGCTATGGGATGCAATGGCATGGTGTTAGGGCTATGGAGCAATATACTTCTTGTCCATTACGTCTATTGTTACAAGATCTCCAGTTATTAAAAGACCTCTGTGTCTATTCCAGGGATGGCCTGCTGACTGACTCGAAGGACTGGAACTGCCCTCCCGCAGGGGCAAAAGCACAGCAGTGGCCCTACCCAATTTCAATCAAAGCATGTGGTAAATTTTGACCGCACTCTTTATTATTAAGGAAGGTAATACTGATAAAATGGAAGGTGCCCACAACTGATATCCTCTGTTCCAGACAGTTCTGCTCATTATCAATATGTGCATCCTGCACTTTACAATGTGCCAAGAAAAAAATGAAAATTTGCAATGTGTAGACATTTATGTAAATTCAGAAGGTTTGTGTCTATTTCCGGCATTCAGTTTCTGCTGTACTTCACTCCTTTATTTCTTAAGAAATTTTAACTAGGCTTCACTCACTTTCAGGGGTACATTTCCAGTTTTAAGGTCTAGAAGCATGCCTTTATGATTCTCAGGTGCTGAAACCTTTGCCTGGGCCTGAAATGACTCCATGCATTCTCTCCTACTGTTAAGTCAGGAACTGTCTCCTAGAATACCTCTTTGAGCTAACTGCTCTACCTTCCTAAAAATCCCCTCCTCAAAACTCACCTTTTCCTATAAGTCTTTGGTGCAAGCCCTTATTATACTTGGACTTGAATGTGTGACAGATTATTTCACAAACAGAATTGTAGATTTATGACTGTAAATAGGTATATTAGTTACGTATTATGAAGTCGTACATTTGCTGATATAGAAGTCCTCATGAGGAAATGTAAAAACTCCCTCTGGTTAAAAGCTGTTACAGCCTAACATTTTCATCACCATTGAACTATGGTTATTATTTGGGAGAACTGTAATACACACTAGAAAAAAATAGGTGTTGAATAGGGTAATAAAAGCTGTTTAAACCAGGGATGGAGGAGTAACTATTTCATGCAGTTATTTGGGTTGTCTTTGTTTTTATTATGCATTTCATCTTTTTATATTTATATTTTATGTTGTGAACCACCCTGAAATCTATGGTAATAGGGCGGTATATAAATTTAATAAACAGGAACAATAATAAATAATCCTTTGGATGGAATGTGAATACTGAGCAATGAGGGGTTCTGTCCTCCCCTACCCTCACAAATATCAGCTTCAAAGGAGGATTTTCCTCATGACTGCAGCAAGGGACAAAAAAAAATAAATTTCCTTTACTCATGTGCTCCACTCTCCATAATTATCAAACCCCCTCCCTGCGTATACTATTTGCTTTTTAAACAAAAACAAAGAAAGAAACCACCACTACACATTTGAAGTAAACGTAATGTGAAGATCAGGGCCGGCCCATGCCTGAGGCAAGGTGAGGTGACTGTCTCAGGGGGCTAAATCCACAGGCCGCAGATCCGGCCTGCAAGGAATGTGGCGCCAGCTGCTGCCGCAGTGGCAACAACAGCTGCAGTATTCTCCTCAGAAGCCAGATCTGACCCCCACAAGGCCGATGCTGCCACAGCGGCCTCTTGGCAAATAGGAGGCGCTACTGGTCTCTTGTTCCCACCCTTGTTCCTGGTGTAGATCTTTGTTCCTTCCCGTTCCTGATATTGCTCTTCACTCACCCTTTCTTCCCTGCTAAGGGGAGGAAATGGCATTTTGTGGTTCGCCTCAGGTGCCAAAACGTCTTGGGCCAGCCCTGGTGAACATTATATGTAGGAAAGAGCATGAGGTAATAACTCCTCAGGACAAGTTAAGAAATAATTATTGGTGGCTGTAGAAACTGACTCTCATTTGCCTTAAATCCAACTGGTGAATTTTCAGAGCAAAATACTAGCGAAGGTTTGGGGGAATTATAGCTTTCCGAGGCTTGTTAGGTATTAAAAATAAGCCATGTATAAGTGGGGTGTATATTGAAGACATTTATCTCCTGCAGCTAATCTTCGTCCTACTTCTGAAGGAGGGGAATGAAGGGAGAGCACACCATGCCCCAGTATGATGCTGACTAAAGTTAATTATCATTTAACGAGATGTTTAATGGGACTTATTAGGGGTGGGGATTGGCATTCTGTGTATGCATTTTATTTTTCTTTGCATCTGAGAAGCCCGACCTTGCACTCAGGTGCAGATCATCTGCAAGAGCTAAGGTTGCACTTTTGTGGCGTGTGTCTGTGTTAATGACTTCCTACGCTGACAAATGACATTTACGCTGCCCTAGACTGGGGTGGGCGGTTGTTTGCAGAGAAGGGATGTCTCAGTGCCATGGTGATGTCACAGGCACAATGCTGATTGCTACTTACGGATTCCAGCTGGGCTTCAAATTACTCTGAGGTAATGCAACCTAAGCAAATCCTATTTTCCTCTTCAAAGCAGCTTCCCAAAAGGGTTGGGAGTTGGGGGTTGGGTGGGGAAAATAAGGCCTCTGCACCAGGGACTCTTAGGTTAAAATCCTGTCATGGTCAGAGGAGTTAATGGACTGGCAACTGCTTTTCATTTTTCTTCATTGCTGCTCCTTAACTCGCTGCAATAGAAGTAGATAATCACAACTGTTACGCTTGCATATTTCATTATCTGGTTCTGGCATTACAAGGGTTGGGAGATAAAAAAAAAACTTTATATTTATTGCTAAGTCCTGCTTGGAAAGGACTTTAATTACTACTGATGTTCTACTAACAGCATTAATGATTCCTATAAACTCCAGGTGGCTTGTTCTGCCAGGGGAAACTGAAAATAGCTACTCTGTGTATACATGACTAATAAATGCAGCATGGAGACATTCCTGTACTGTCCTTGCCACTGGTGGAGTTGGGATAGCTCCATAATGCACATGCAAAGGGAGGTAAATAGTAATTATGGCAAAAAAACCTTTTTAGATAGGCCTATATTAAGTGGCTGTGTTAACATATTCATAACAATCGTATTTCCTGAGGACATTCCTCTGAATGTTTCAATTTCCTGTCTGTTTTGTAGCCTTTTATAGTGCTGTAGGAAAGTGTGTGTGTGTGTGTGTGTGTGTGTGTGTGTGTGTGTGTTACAAAATGAAACAAAAAGTTCTGCCAGTGTTACGGAAGTAGCAAAGGCAGCTGTTTTTTATTGTTAACAAACACCGTAGTTCTTTTCTGTTTTACCTTAATTACATCAATGCTGTTAGCACTGTAGTTTGTGACAATTAATTGCCATCTTTTGTAACTTCAGAGCAGCTTTGCTCTTTTGGCTGCTTTTGGGAACATTAAAGGCGACAAAGGCCTTTGAAAAGCACTTACCTGTGTAGGTTTTCCATGCAATGGAAACAATGTTGAAGGGCAGAAGGGCACACTATTTGTTTGTTAAACTACGGCTATTAATTTTACTATAGCCACAGGAGCATGATCAGGACAGTGGTGTATGAGAAGTGAGGAATAATCCTCCTTTGCCCACTGCAGTCCCACTGAAAAATCGCCCAGCAAAGCTTTCCTCCCATGATAAATATAAGCTCCCTTCCACCATGAAACGTTCAATAGCACCTGGATGTAGCTGGCAGGTCTGAGATGTGAGGGAAAGTATAACGCCCCCCCCCCTTGTCATGCTCTCAGCTCTTGCTTCTATTTGCAGTTTTCCTTTTAATGCCACCTATTCAGTACCACGTGTCATTGACCCTGAAATACTGTTACTCCCTGGAGCTATTCAGATATAAACCAAACGTGGTTAGCAGAAGCCATGGTTCTGCTCAAACCAGGATTGCATACTGCAATTTGATCCTGGTTTTCAAGCCTGATTTAAGTGCAAACCACCACCAGCTTCATGTGATTGGTCAGGTGTGGAATCCCATCTTCAGCACTGGGCACTGGGCATATTGCCAGGCACTGCCCACACTTTGAAGCCTGTCTGTAGTAAAGAAGCCTATGTGCAAGATTTCAATCTCAGTGAGTGATGAAAGGGAAGGTACAAATCTGGCCCTAAATGTTCTTCTAAATGGGAGTGTACTACGTGTACTATTCAGCCCATTTGCAGAAGGAAAACAGAACGTTCTATTTGTCTCATTGCCTCTTCTTAAGCTGTTCAAAACATGAAATGCAGTAACACATTCTGATAGCAATTTTACAATAATGAATTAATGTGGATGAAAAGCTCACACATTGAAAGATGGAGTAACACATCACACATGCCACTCTGTTTAGCAGAATGCCAAAAAACAACAGCCTAACAACAACACCCAACCCTCATCCATCTGGTTATCCATACATGCAGGAAGCAAAACAACAAATTTCTCCACCCAATCAGTCTCAATATGTCACAGTGCAGTTTAAGAACTCAAAGACTTGCAGGTGTTAGAAGAATTTCTTTTTAAAAACAAAACAAAACACTACTTCAACATTTTGCCATGGGATCCTTTGGGAGGGATGGTGGGATATAAATTTAATAAATAAATTGCTGCAATCAATTCTCTTTAAAGATTTGCTTAATTGCATGCATTGCTCACGAATACCATCTGCCATATTAATATATATATAATGAACTGCTGCTATTTACTAAATTTGGGTTGCCCATGGAGAAAAGCCTGTAAGTGACTTACAGTTTAAAACCAATAAACAGCATACAATATAACAAGTACTGTACCAAATATAAAACATGCCTAAACTGCACAAGTCAACAATTAACAACAGAATCCATCTTGCAAGCATAGACGCATGTGTAAATAAAAATCCTCCTCAGATAAAACAATCCCAGTGAACAATATTAAAATAATGGTTGATAGAATATTCTAAGATGGTTTAAATTACAGCAGTCAGCAAACTTTTTCAGCAGGGGGCCGATCCACTGTCCCTCAGACCTTGTGGGGGGCTGGACTATATTTTTTTGGTGGGGGGAATGAACAAATTCCTATGCTCCACAAATAACCCAGAGATACATTTTAAATAAAAGCACACATTCTACTCATGTAAAAACACGCTGATTCCTGGACCGCCTGCAGGCTGGATTTAGAAGGTACCTAATTGGGCTGGATCCAGCCCCTGGCCCTTAGTTTGCCTACCCATGGTTTAAAATGCTGACTGTTACTAAAAGGCCTGGAATAAAAGGTGGCACAAAAAGTGTGTATAGTGCACACCAAGCAGGTCTCCTTGGGAAGAGCATTCCTCAGGCAGGGGGGGGCATTGCCGAAAAGCCCCCCTCTCTTATTGCCTAGTAGACTTCTATGGAAAGAGGTCTGCCTTCAGGTTGTGGGGTCTCAAGCAGATAGTATATGCAGAGAAGATATATCAATCCAAACTGCGCCTGCAGATGAGTTTCAAAGTGATTTGCTGTACCTGCTGATTGGCTATAGAGAGCAAGTTCCTTTTAACCTTGGGAGGAGGGCAGGGCTGCCCACTTTGTCAAAATGGACCTGCTGGGATGGAGGAATTAAGGATCCAGCCTATTGGATTCAGTTCCTCAGCCTGCTTTATAGCCTGTTGGCAATAGTAAACCCAAATTATTTAATAGTGAAGATGTAAGCATGGTTCTAAAAATAGCACTGCAATTTAATTCACTGCCCAAGAAGCAGGAAAGTTT